TATTTGCCACCAATAAAAATTTGCTGTTCAAACAAAACATTAACTATCTTTAAAAGAAAAAAAAATAATAAAAATACGCCAACTTACTATTACTATAATTTGTATATAGGTGCCTACCTATTGGAAACACTTATTATTATTATGCATAAGCCAGTAAGGTCAGTATACAGCAGATGGACGAAAATGAAAAAATATAATATAATATTAATATAACATAATTTTGACTAATGTCTACATATGGTATCTAAAAATGAGTACAATCTCTCATCGGCTTCATCAATTTTGAATATATTTATCTAAAATAAAACTCATTTGCGTACTTTTCCAAGCATACCAATAACAAATAATGATTGATAATATAATAGGTACATATGATGTACTTAACCTATGCACTGTACTTGAAGATATTTGTAGAAAAAAAGATGAAAAATTGATAGATAAATTGAGTACAGTATATGAAGGTTATATAAATCGTACACAAAATTCATATACCTATTAAATATTTAACTAGCTATTACAGATATTAATTCACACAACGTTGACCTTATTCACTGTTTATTAAGTTTAAAAATATTTGTCTCAATGATATTTTTGTATGGTCAGTCTAATTTTAATGTAACATTAAGTTCGATCAACAACTCGAACTCAATATTATAATATAATAAAGGTAAGTATTATATATAAATAATTGGTCATAACCATGATATAATATACTTTATTATATCATGTTCATAACTATATATACTATAAAACTATACACTAGTTTGAATATTTTATTAGTATTATTATATCAGAAAACTAAAGTTTTAGATACACCTAGACCTAGGTAATTGATTTAATAAGCCAATATGGTAGGTACCTATAATTTAACGAATATTTTGAATTAACTTGTATTAACTCTTCTACCAACTGGTCTGGTTTTTGATTTTGACATTTGACTTATAATAATTAATAATACATCACTGTAACGAATCTTGCAGTTACAGCACCACAAAACCCCGCCGGCGTTATATATGCTCCGTCTATTGTCTATTATAATAGATAGACTTATAGTCTAAGGCAGCGGTCCCCAAMCTGTGCACCACAAGCTAATTTAAGGGGCGCCACAGCTCGTCCGAGAATGAAAAATATGTACTGTAGTTAGAAAAGACAAAAAATTATTTTACGTACAATATTACTTAGCATACTATCTGTACCTATATCTAATATTAAATATAGTGTTTCTATAATATGTGTCGAATAATTCAATAATAGATAAAAACAGATAAAAATATTGCCAAACTTTCCAAAAATGAGCAGCCTCAAATATCTCATTAATTATAAGTTTTTCACTATCAAAGCAATTTTTTTTTCACTTTCGACTATAAAATTATAATTTGTTAATAATATGTAAAATTATTTAAATCAGTTATATGAATGAAAACTAGTATTTTTTTT